GGTGTTCGGGCTGGGTCGGTGGGTTGGTGTTTCGGTGCTCGGGGTGGGTTGGTGGTTGGGGTGAGTAGGTGGGGGGGTGTTCAGGCTGGATCGGTGGGTCGGTGTTTCGGTGCTCGGGGTGGGTTGGTGGTTGGGGTGAGTAGGTGGGCCGGTGGGTCGGTGTTTCGGTGCTCGGGGTGGGTTGGTGGTTGGGGTGAGTAGGTGGGGCGGTGTTCGGGCTGGGTCGGTGGGTCGGTGTTTCAGTGCTCGGGGTGGGTTGGTGGTTGAGGTGAGTAGGTGGGGGGGTGTTCGGGCTGGGTCGGTGAGTAGGTGGGGGGGTGTTCGGGCTGGGTGGGTGGGTTGATGGTTGGGGTGTCGCGAAGTGTGAGACGTCCGATGTAAAATTCTGACGCGGCTGACGCGGCGCGCCTGACGCGTTTGTTTTGTTTCGGGCGAGCGTTTCGTTTTGTTTTTTGAGTTTTGCTTTCTTTTATCGTTACTTTTGGAAAAGAGGTCGGGCGCTCGAATCCTGGCGGGCCTGTTTGGTCCGGCGTTTGATTTTCTTTTGGGCGAGTGCGGTTTCGTTTGGGGTCGGTGGGTGGGTGCTTGGGGTCGGTCGGTAGGTGCTTGGGGCACGTCGGTTGGGTGCTGGGGCCGGTCTGTGGGTGCTGGGGCCGGTCCGTGGGTGCTGGGGCGGTCGGTGGGTGCTGGGGCCGGTCGGTGGGTGCTGGGGCCGGTCGGTGGCTCGGGGATGGTTGGTCGGTGGGTCGGTGCTTCGGTGGTTGGTGGGTCGGTGCTCCGGCGCTCGGGGTGGGTTGGTGGTTGGGGTGAGTAGAGGGGGTGTTCGGGCTGGGTCGGTGGTCGGTGGGTCGGTGGGTCGGTACGTCGGTGGTGTGGGTGGCTCGGTAGGCCGGTGGGCGGGTGGTTGCGGTGAGTAGGTCGGGGGGTGTTCGGGCTGGGTCAGTGGGTCGGTGTTTCGGTGCTCGGGGTGGGTTGGTGGTTGGGGTGAGTAGGTCGGGGGGTGTTCGGGCTGGGTCGGTGGGTCGGTGGGTCGGTACGTCGGTGGTGTGGGTGCCTCGGTAGGCCTGTGGGCGGGTGGTTGGGGTGAGTAGGTCGGGGGGTGTTCGGGCTGGGTCGGTGGGTCGGTGGGTAGATGGGTCGGTACGTCGGTGGTGTGGTTGCCTCGGTAGGCTGGTGGG